ATATATATTTTATATAAATAATTACAAATAATGTCTAAGTTGCACACATTTCTGTGCTCAGTCGCATGCATGCAACTATACATGCATATGTTCACGGGCTGCTTCAGCTCTCTGGGTGATACTCTTCTAATAACAGCTATTCTGGCTCACATTAGCCTTTAAATGCTACAACTGTTCATATACTCAAAGAGGTATGATTTGGGTCTCCGAAAGCATTCAAGAAAATTTTGCAAAATTTATGAAAATTCAGGCAAATGTTCATTGTACTCATCCCTCCATTTTTATGAGAACCAACTTTTATAGATTTAAGAATCCGGCACTTTCCCATGCAGGACTGTATTTTCTGACATTCCGGTATTTCAGGAATAATGAATTTTTCTGTTCTGTCACCAACTTGAGACATTCTGGGTTTTGCATAGTAGCAGCTCAGGCTACCAAAGAAGTTTATGCTGGGCAATTTATGTTTCTTCCTCCTTGCAAATCAGGTATATTCTCCCAAGTAAAAGTAGCCAACCTTTTTGTCAGCATTAAAAAAAAAGAAAGAAAAAGAGCTCTTTTTTTCTTAATAAGTATTATGGAAAAATATTTTGATAGTAACTTACCAGTTTTTACAATTAAAAAATAAAGTTAATGCCCCCTAAATTGTTAATCAAAAAATTAAATGTTAATTAAAGAACTAAAAATAACCCCAAATTGCTCACGTTTCACTTTTCCATTGAAAACTTTGAACATTTCTCCACTTTTTGCACACTTGGAAGGTTTTCATGGGAACTAATAATCTTAGTCTCAAGAAGACTGTCTTACTGCATTTCTTTAGCTAGCTGAAACAAGCTGAGCGAGCAGAATGAGTGAGGGTTATATATTGTGTTCTTTGCATGCCTTGAGTTCCTACTAAAGCTATTATCTGTAGCAAGGAAGATGTTAAACAGATACTGTTCAACAGCTTCATCTTAGAACACATTTTAAAAAATGGTTTAAAAATGGAATAGACAAGTCATGATCTTTTCAACAAGATTCTGTGGATACACTGAATGGCCAAAGTCATGTTGTGCCCCCTGAGGGACAAATAAAATGTCTCTGTTGCCCCAGAGCTGTGCACGGGTGCGGTGTGAGAGGATTCTGGTAAATGGGATTCTACAGAGGTGCCAAGTAGTCTGTACAAACTGTCTCCTAACATGGGGGGTTTAAACACAATGAAGTTATTTCTTCTAGCTTTGCTACCTAAGCAGCAGAATGACGGAGAACCGATGGCGTAACTGGTGATAAAGGTATGTTGGATGCTCATAATTTTTTCCATGTACGCTGTCTGATCAATTTTTGGTAAAACAACTGAGGCATTTATTTTTCTTAAAGAAATGACTTTTACTATAAACCTGGGCTTTTTAAAGGTGAATAAAAGGACTGCTTCGTAGGATGCAATTATTCATAATGAAAAACTATTTTTAGAGTAAGATGGCACTCATCATCTATTCTATTGACTTACATGTACAAATTGAAAACAAAATGAAACCTGAAGGACCACGTGCTGCGGCATGTTTAATAAGAACTGAATTGTTTGTATGTCTTTGTTAGACCTGTAGTATGCTCAAGGGGTTGTATAGGTCTTCCTGCTCTTACATGCCTTGTTAGGATACACATTTCTGTGTGGCACTATTTATTAAATTTGAGCTATTAAACCAGTCTTAAAAAGCTTTGTTTGTTTAGTTTGCTAATGAGTTATAAAAGCTAAAAAAGTTAGGCTAAGGTTGGGTTGGGTAGTTGTTTATGTTAGGTTTCTCCGCTGTGGTGCTCTCTGATAGCGGTTGGTAACAAGGCATCTCAGGGAACCATGAAGAAAGGGACGAGTTTTTCCTTGTATTGCATTGGTCACCTGATACTGTTCTTTTAGCATGAAAAAACATGAATAACCACTCCATATTCACCTTCTCCTTGCTAGCATCATTTTATAGGCTTCTGTTAAAGCCTCTCACAGTTTTTACTAGGCAGAAAAGTCCTTGTCTATTTAGTATCTCCTGATACAGAAGCTGCTCTAGTCTGTGATTATGTTCGCCATACTTCTGTACGTGCTTTGAGATGGAGAGATCAGAGCCACATGCAGTTGTAAATGCAATATAGATTTTTCCAGTGTCATAAAGATGTTTTCTATATTATTCTCTAAATCTTTTCCCAAGATTCCTAGCTTTGTATTTCAGAACCCATCAAAGTATACAAACCTATTTTATCCCAAATGCATAACATTTTATTTATCAACCCTGCATTTCCTCTGCCTCATCACCATCATGAAATCCTTCTGTAATTTCTTTGAAGTCCATTTCTAATTCTACTACCCTCGGTAATCCAGTGTCATCATCAAACTTTGCTGCCTTCCTATTTATTCCCTTTTCGAGCTGACTTAAGAGCACCTTGGTCAGCATCAGCTCCAGAACAGATGCCTCTGGGACTCCACTGGTGACCTCCTTTTACTCTGAGAAGCAATCGATCCTTCTGATGCTACGCTGTGTTGACTATTCCCCACTGTATTGCATTTGTTCATATATCCATTGGCCTCTTTCTTTACTATAATTCCATCCAATTTCTCTGATTTACGCATCAGATTTATAGACCTGCAGTTCTCTGGATCTCTTCTGAGGCCTTGTGACAAACTCTGGTTGCCTCTGGCCCTCTGATTCCTCAGCTGCTGGGGCCCAAGTGCTAGGTTACACCTACCCAGTTAATACATCACTAACTGCATCTATGAACTCCTTTACGATTCCTGGGTGAATACCAGCTTATTCCAGTGAATAGCTTTTATTAATTTTATCGATTTGTTCTAGAATCTCTTCCATTAACGTTTCAATATCAGACAGATCCTCCAGTGACCTGTGTGAATCTACTCGTGTCACAGAAGTAGAAAATTCCCTAAATTCTTCTGTGGTCAACACAGATGCAGCAAATCATGCAATCACGTCTCTCCTATTGCTTCACCTTCTTCAAATCCCTTTTCTACATTTCTGATCCTCTATTGATCCTTGTACTCTTTGGTAAGTTTCCTGCTTTTGATGTATTTAAAAATGAAGTTATGATTTATTTTTTTTTAATTCAAAGCCCTTTTTGGCCTGCCTTATTCAGCTTTCACATTCAACTGGCTTCAGTTTATGCTCTGTTCTATTTCCTCTGTAAAGAGTGTCTCCTTAGTTCTGATAACCTCTTTCATCTGGCTGTTGTGCAATAACAGTCTTTTTCAGATCTTCTTAAATTAATATTTAATAATGTGTTTTCCCTGACTGAGTTTTTTGTGCTGTGACTTGTTTCTACCTGGCCACTGTCTTCGTTTTAGATTCCTACCCTCTATAATAATAAATGCACTTGTAGAAGACTTCATTTTTTTGGGGGTCTTAAGTATATTAGGCTTGCTGTATAGAGTGCTTGTTAAAGACATGTTGGGCTGACTCAAGAGCTGCTTCTCTTTTTGTGGAGTCCCTGTCTGCTCCAAAAAGTCATTTAGAGTGACTAAAAATTTAGTCTTCAAATTACAGACATATGTGATGTTTACATGAGAATAAACAAAATCTCCAATTATTATCGTGTTTTCTGTCATCACAGCCTTTATGATCTCTCTGAAACTGTCACAGTGTTACAGTCCTGTCTGTTTGTACTGTAGTGCTAATACAACATTTATCCCATCTATGAATGGGACTTCGAACTGAGAAGAATCAGTGTTATCCATCGATATAACTGACTGACTTATCTATCTTCAGTGCATAAACATAAAACACCACCTTGGAGCAATCTCATCTGCCCTTCAGAAATTATTTGTACCTTAACACTAAAGTCTTGCCCGATTATTTTTTCCCACAGTTTCTGTTGTGCCAATCATGTAAAAAATCCTCATTTAAAGCTTGTTGTTAAACTCACCATGAATTCTGTTTGAAGTAAATGAGAACACGCAACTGCATCTCGAAGCTGCTGCCGTGTCAGGACGCGGCCGGCTGACTGTAGGTATTCCATCGCTACTTTTTCTCGTGGGGTTGGCACAGTGACGAAAGGCTCAACACTTCCCAAACTGCTCATGTCCAAAGTCAGTGAGACATTGGAGCCTCGTCTGTGTTAGAAAATAATTAAAACAGTTATATCAGATCTGTGTTACTGAAGTCCCATACTCATGCAGCTGATCCTGAGTTATTTATGCACCCTATGTTGTCACTGGGAGATTTGGATGTGCAAAACCTGCAAGACTGGTTTCACTGGAAGCACTAGGTGGCCAGAAAACTAAGGTTTTACATATTGTCCTACCTCTTGAATCTAACAACTGACTCTGCAAGAACAGTGTTTTAAGGAGCAACTATTTGGATTATTCTTAGAAGTAGAAACTGCTCCCTATATGCTACTTAATCATTATGGATATCAAATGTGAAAGTGATATCTTAGTAAGGAAGAAATATTTCACAGAAAAAAAAAAGGGGGGATATATTTCTAACTGGTACATATAACAACCTGGAAATAAATTCACAGTTATGTCAGCTATATGTTTAAGAATCTACTAAAATTAAATATACAGAATGGAGGGGGAAAAAGTGATAAAATCAGCAGAAATAAATGGAAAAGCAGTGCAAACTTCATGACTACCAAGACTGTGAACAATGTCTCATGTTAGGGAAGAGAGAAGGGAGAGGCAATAAACCAGGATAAATGAGCTGCATCCCAGGAGGAGGAATGGTCACAGACTTAAGAGGGGTTATTCAGAAATGCCAAACACCTCTTGCAGGACAATCAAATTCATCAACATTTCACACTCCTACAGGAAAATAAACTTGGATTCAACAGCACCTTTGAGCCGTGAAAATACAAATAAAACACACTTCTTTGTGCTTGGTACGAGCGCTACTCTTTTTGTCGCTTTCTCCAAACAACACTGAAGAAAAGTGTCTTTTTTCATAGTTCCAATCCATCGATCAAATGTTATCTATTCAACCCCTAACTTTAGCCATATCGATTGCAATAAATCCATGCTCTGTGAATTGTGATGACTCAACACACTTTCATAGGCATAAATCAAAGTTTTTGTGTTTACTAATCAGAAATCAGTACTGTAAGACTGCACGCTTCAGCTGCCTCTTGGCTACAGATGCCCAGCTCAGTGTAAAGGTATCTAACATTTAACCAAGCAGCTACGCACACATAGAGATACAACAACGCACATTTCAGACCTACCTCTGCACATTATCACCCCTCCTTTAACGTACGCTCACAGGGGACTTCTTTAAGCTCTTAGTTGCTCTACCATGTTTGGACATATACAACCACAATGTAACACCTCTGTCTCAACTCTCCCCTAATAGCCATCCAGCCAGATCAGAACACAGCTCTACACCTTGCCCATTTTAAAAATCCTGTGTGTCAGTGATTAATCATTTACTGATTAACCCATTATCTGGCGACTCCAGTTTTCCTGCTGGAACTCTGGGTGGTTGGGTGCATTTCCACGCACCACTCTGGATACTGGGATGCTGGTAAGGTACAACTATTGCTTTTGTGCTAATACCACATATTATTGTAAATATCACACAGACATCATCAGATAGTACCTGTGAGGCAGCTGCTATTAATATTGGGGAAACACTTTCCTCTAGTCTGCAGCAAAAGTTGCTTGAGTTAATCCTTGTTCTTTACTGCCCTCTCGACATTCATGGGTTGCCCACAGGTATTTGTATGCACACATACTTGAACAAATTATTTGTCTTTTCAGACAATCTGACTCTTACTTAGTGCTGCTGTTTCTGTTCTGTTTTGTGATCTTCTTCTGCCACCAGAATAAGTATTCTTAGGGTTTATTGCTTTCTTTTTTGTTTGTAACCATGTTAACATAACACTTTGTTGTTGTTGTTGTTCTGACTCAATTTTGATGCACTTCCTATTCTACACGTCAGCAGATTCTTCAGTAATTTTCTTTTAAATTAAACAATTTCTATCATGTCAGTCTGCATTAATAGAAATTACTTCAGTCACTCACCTGTCACTTAGCAAAACACAAAGCAACAACGGCCAAGAGATAAGACCACCTGGTGGAACCGGTGAATCTCAGATTGTTCCATACTGTCCATAAGCATATTTCTGCTTAGATGATGGGTGGGTGACAGCAAGAGCTTTGCTGCCCATGCCCACAGATGGTAACAGTGAGACAGAGACAGAAGCAGAGGTGGGAGAGGTAAGACGGAGCTGAGGCGGCTGCAGACAGCCAGCTGCTGCTGGGGGTACACGGGGACAATTTCTGTTGGCAGAGGGAAGTTGGTGGGGTATGATTCTGCTAATTTTGCTAGGACGTAGGCACAAGTGAAGTAGCATCCTGAGCAGAAATGACTAGTAACTGACATATGTGTAAGCTGCCAGTAGTGCTCTGTGGCTCACTAGACACCCTGCATCATATTGAAGCCCCAGTCAGTGGTACCAGTGCTCATACCCAAATCCAGAGCTGTGACAGCCTGGGAGGTGGGCACACCACAAGCCCGTGGCCGCTCTGTGCCAGACCCTGTAGGAGGGTCCTGGCTCGGGTACCCAATCCAGCTCCCCGGGGACTGACCCCCGCCAGTCCCCTAGCTCCACGCTGCTTCTCAAGGAAAACATCCTGTTAGACTGCTTTCTCACAAAAACCCTCCTGTGAAAGCACCTCTTCTGACCATGACTAGCAATTTATTCCATGGAAAGGGCAGTCCCTCAAACAGGTGGCTCTGAGGGTGTAAATCACAAATCCAATCTTTTGAAAACAATCCAGAAATCCACAGAAGGGTTGTGCAATGAAGTTCTCCAAAACCTCTCCATGGCAGGGGGGGTCGAACTAGACGATCCTTAAGGTCCCTTCCAACCCAAACCCCATTCTATGATTCTATGAAAACTCTTTAGGCTACCTTTGGTTGAGAAATGGGTAGCGATTTAGACCCAGACATACTTCTGGAAGAGCCTACTGAGATTTCCTAATATAGAGGAAAAGCATTCGCATTGTCCAGTAACAAAGTACAGTGAAAACGTTAATATTTTCTTTGGCTTTTACATTGTTATAACTGACAGTCTTGGCAAAGACGCTATTTCCTTTTTAACAACAAAAAAAAATATACCTGATCTAATTATAACCTCACGTTTACAGCTTTTACCATTTATGGGGATTATTGATGAACACCAGTGTTGAGAATCAAATAACTTACTCTGGAAAGAAGAAATAACTTTTAGCTGCATATTTAACACATTAAAAGCTACAATTTGAATAAAAACTGAATGGAGGGCAGAGATTAATAACCTAAAGGATAGTGGTCTTTTTAGAAAGTCCATAAGAGGATATACAATATATAATAGCTCTAAAGGTAATTCTTCCATAAAAACAGGCTTCTCCAGGAACACTTCTAAAGTATGCTTCAGTTAATATAAAGATTTTAATAATGTTTACATTAGCAATACTATTGCCAATATTATCATTAATCATGCAGACTTCTTCACTGCATTCAAGACCGTGCTGAGGAATAAGGCTGAAAACAGGACTTTTTGCCTTGTCTTGAAAGATGAGGAAGGGCTTGAAGCCATCATGCTCTTGTATGCCCTAATAGAAGATGCTTGTAGTCTCAGGTCCTGCTCTGGGCTCCTTGTATTCTCTATGTTCCTCCATCAGTTAAATTCTTCACTTTCTACAGAAAAAAGTAGAAAGTAAGAATTCTCTTCTCTTTTACTACCTGGGTGGAAGGAGTAGTAAGGGTAGTAAGGGTAGTAAGCCCACCTTTTTCCCGCCTTATTGGAGGAACTGCACAAGGCTGGCCACAGAACAACGAGGAAGTACCACCTAAAACAAATCCCATTTTTGGTAACTATCCCTTGTCTCCAATAGGTGTTGAATAAACAAATCTCAATCAGACCAGTGACACTTCAAGTCAGACAACGCATTTTTCTTGGAGATAGAGATATATATGTTCTGACTACATACTGGTATCTTTCCATTTCAAATTAGAGTGAAGGAGCCATACACGTGGGTTTTCCCTTATTTCTGAATATGTACAACCCTTTTTTACCTTCTAAAGGTACCTTTATATTCTTTATGTTCCCCATGTTAATCATCTGGGCCAAATTAGAGAAGATTTTGCTATGATACACCTCCCCCAGCATCCCCTTGAGGTTGTGTCTTGATGGGGAAGAGCATCATGTGAGGAATCTGAGGAATTGTAAACAGTCATGACAACATTACATTAAAATCAGCATGAGACTAACTCTTCCAAAGTTTCACCAGCTGGGACAGACACCTCATCACTGAGTACGTGAATAAGTGCAATCAGGAAACCACTTGTGTCTGTGTATTGTCTAGTATCCCAGAGGGGGTCTTACTACATACTCACAGCCCTCTTTTCAATTCGGTAATAGGAACAAGTCCACTCATGAGAATCCACTGGAGTATTTTTAATAATACCTTTATAGAAGCAGATTTTATTACAGACCATGATAAAAAAAAAAAAAAGAAGATTAATGTAATGTTTGTTTGAAAACTCTCAAAAGGAAGCTCCACCTGTCCACCTTGGAGAGCCACCAGGTTACTGAAGCCTATTAATCATTAGCAAGGTCATTTCCAGGTCTTCCCTGACCCTAAAATTAAGCTATAGCTGGTGATTATGAAAATCCAATTACCCGACACGTTTTCCCAGTTGTTTATTTAAGCTGGGTAATTTCTTTAAATACACGTTCCCATGTTTATTCAGCACTCCTGAAAAATGCAACGCCCAGATTCCCGGTCCTCGGCTTTTCATTCTCTCTAGTGGTTTTGGAAGCGGCAGTGACGGCTCCTGCCCTCCAAGAGCCATTGCCCTCCGACCCCGGCATTGCAGACGCGGGAGGCGCTTCCTTCTGCTCCCTCTGTCCTCCATCCCTCCGCCGAGCTTCTGCGCGGCCGAGGCAGGAGCTGTGTCAGCCGTGCGGGTGGAAGGAAGCCATTAATTAGTGGGAAGAGCAGCCCTGGCTGCGGCTGCTGGGGAGGGAGTTTACTTTGGGTCCTCAGATCCCGCTTGCACCAGGGCTACTCTCCCTGGGTTTTACTGCAGGGATGACGGGAAAAACATCACGATTCCCCTGCGTGCT